CTGGTCCTTTTGGTTTAAGCTCGGCCCGCCTCAGTGCGAGAAGAAGAAGAGTAATTGCTTCTATTAAGGAGATAGAGTTAAAAGGTAATGGATTCTTTGATTATTACTGATAGTTGTTTCCAGGAGTTGGGTGAAACTGGTTCATCATAATAAGCAAGCGTTGTGGAGGCCAGGAAATGCATGAGTGTGCATGAGGCCACCGGGGCCTTTATTCTCCCGTTAAAGGGAGGTTAGAAGTAATGGACAAATCAGGGAATGACAATGGGAAGGATGCAAATGTGCAGTGGAAGCGCCGTCCGCTGGGATGTCAGACTAATTGCTTTATTTTTCTTCTTCATGGGCCAGGTGCTGCAGCAGCCTTCTCTGTGGGCTACATCAAGGTGACCTGGGTTGTGTGGGGAGAGCTGGCTTTGGGGATGTTCTCAGCTGTAGGGTCAGGTGCTGTGTTTCTGATGGCATTCACGAGCAGCATCTGGGTATGCTACGTCGGTTATGCCATATTTAAATCCTGTTACATGCTCCTCATCACCATCACAACGTAAGTGCATGATAGAATTTCTCCACGCTGCTCCTCTAAATGTGTTTTAAAAGTGACAAGAACAACTTAAAGAATTCATTCAAACTGACTGTTTTGTCAGTTCAATACAGAGGAAAGGATGACAATATTAGTTTAGAGTCAGCTTACTGGTTGCAGTGCCATACAAATCTATTGCAGTCTTAGAATATGTGCTGAATCTCTCATAATTATAAGGACTTTGTCACCGCAGGTTTCAGATCGCCTCTAACCTCTCCATGGAGTGCTATGCTCTGACTTTTGGGATCAACACTTTTGTAGCCCTCTCACTGCAGACCATCATTACAGTCACAGTTGTTGATGAAGCTGCACTGGGGCTGGACATCGTGACGCAGGTACGTGTACAGGCTGTAATTATACTACTGCATATTTGAATGGCAGCACACGGGGATTTAACCTGTTAGCAGTCGGACGTACCGCCCACGGTACATTGGATGGTTTAGGGGACTAATTGGACTGCTAAGGGGTTAACAACAACTCAAAGTCAAGAACCCGATGGCCCCTTCAGCGTTCTGTTGCTTAACTGAAGCACTGAAATGTGAGGACAGAGTGACACCTGGTGGTTATCATTAGCTGTTGCACGCAGGTCTATTTGATGCAGGTGGTTCACTGCCATAGCATAGATAAAATAATTCTAATAATGCTTAGGATTATGTGTCGTCTCTCTGCTCTGCAGTTTATCATCTACGGCAGCTACTATGCTGTCATATCGCTGCTCTTTTTGATCCGAGGAACCTACACCGCCTGTGTGAACAAACCCTGTCTCCGGCACACGGAAGACAAGGAACCTGAGTGTGTGGAGGAGGTGATTGCTGCAGAGCGTCTCTGACCTGTGTCAGTGCCCGACAGGTTTTTGGAAGATTGGAACTAATTTACCTTAAACAGCTGCAAATTAACTAACGAGAGCTTGTAAATATGCTTTTCTTAAACACTACAAACTGTAACATTAAACGTTTATACACTGAAAAGCAAACATTTATGTGTTGTGTATTTTTGCTATCTGCAACCCAGACAGGAAGACAAACAACACAATAAAACAGTTACTTCTGATTGGTATTAAAGTCCAGAGTTTTGGGCGCTTACCTGTTTAATTTATCAAAGTTTTATCTCAGCTTGTGCTCGAGTGTCACCAAGATTGTGTTGCTCTTTGACCAGGTTGCTGATTAACAAAATGCCTAGAGAGTTGTGAGGTATTTTTCCCCCATCACACACTCACACATGAAACAGGAAAGCCAACATGGAGGCA